ATGGTTAGATTCAGCATATCAAAGAACCCCATATATTCAATTTTTGTTGAAATCAAACAAAGTTAAATTTTGGACCCTTTGGACCTCAATGTGGACCAATTTAAAAACGGGGCCCAAAATCCAAAAACTTAATACACGGTTATATTCAGCATATTAAAGAACCCCAAGAATTCAAGAATAAAACCCCATTGAAATTGATCAAGAAATAAGCAATTTATAAGAAGTATCTTCTTTTGCACAATACTGTGCAATTGAATATTTCTTGCTATTGCGCAATACTGTACAATTGACAATTTCTTGCTATTGCGCAATATTGTGCTATTGGATATTTCTTGCTATTGCGCAATACTGTGCAATTGAAGATTTCTTGCTATTGCGCAATACTGTGCAATTGAAGATTTCTTGCTATTGTGCAATACTGTGCAATTGAAAATTTCTTGCTATTGCACAATACTTATTATATAAAAATTTACACATCCTGTTTGGTGTGTATCTCCTACCATATCATTATTATTTGCTTTTAAATATAAATCAGAAATAACCAACTTAAAATGGAAAATTTAAAAAGAAAAAAAAAAGGAAAAAAAGAAAAAAAAAGAAACCCCCCCCCCCCAAATTTTTGGAACCTCCTTATGATTCATCACCCCCAAACTCAATCCCAGCCTTCCCTTTGTGGTATGGTACCTTGCAGTACAATTTCAGAGAGATCCATACACTTGAACACAAGTTTATTGTCTTGAAACTAGAAAAATGCTTATTTTTGGCCCCTTTTTGGCCCCCAATTCCTAAACGTTTCAGGCAATGACCCCCAAACTCAATTCCAGCTTTCCCTTTGTGATATGAAACCTTGTAGTACAATTTCAGAAATATCCAAACACTTACACACAAGTTATTGTCATGAAACTAGAAAAATGCTTGTTTTTTGCCCCTTTTTTGGCCCCTAATTCCTAAAATTTTGAGGCAATTACCCCCAAAATCAATTACAGCCTTCCCTTTGTGATATGGAACCTTGTGGTACAATGTCAGAGAGATCCATACACTTACACACAAGTTATTGTCTGAAAGTTACAAAATGGTTATTTTTGGCCCCTTGTTGGCCCCTAATTCCTTAACTGTTGGTACCATAACCCCCAAAATCAATCCCAACCTTCCTTGTGTGGTATTGAACCTTATGGTAAAATTTCATGGAGATCCATTCACTTAAATTAAGTTAGAGTGCGAAAACCAATGTGTCTTCGGACGACGCCCGACGACGACGACGACGACGACGACGCCAACGTCATACCAATATACGACCAAAAAATTTTTAATTTTTGCGGTCGTATAAAAATCAGTTGAAAAAAAGGGGGGGGGGGGGGGAGTGTAGTGGTAGACTGTGGTTCATTATTGAGATAAGAAACATTTACAACATGATAGCTGCAAAGTTTGAAGTTTTCATAAGTAATTTGTTGATTCGACCATAACAGGGACATTGACCCTGCAATAAAATGACGCGTACCATTTCGACAAAAAATTTCTAGTAAACACGTGTTGCTACAAACTTTTTGGTTAAATTGTTTTGTCGATATCTATAACTCTTTCTAGGAAGAAGCGATATGAACTTAGTGTAAAAAATCACAACATGACCTTGACCTTTGACCTTGACCTAGTTTTCTATTCTTTAGGACCAAGGACCTCAAATCAACAGACCCTAGGTCTCTATCACTTATGGTTTACCAGTTACAAATGCATATCACTTATTTCAAATGCATTAGGGGAAATAACTCTCATATGGAGTCTTCGTATCGCTTCCGTCAAAATTGGACAAAAAATCCTGAGGATATAGCGAGCCATTTGGTTAAATAAATTTGTCGCTTTCTTTTACGGTTACGGAGGAGATGCAGTCACAAGGAAAACAGTGTTCAGGGAGATAACTCCTACAAAGAAAATTGTTCGGCTTAGAATGGGTGAAAATAAAAAGCGCATAAACTGTATGATACTATATAAGAAATATCTAAGCGACGTCTTGCGAAACAAAACTTTTACGCGAGAACAAAATTAGGCGGAAGAAAAAAATAATAATAAATATAAATCAATTGTTTTAAAAACAATTGTTAACGGTCTTTCCCCTCTGAAAAATGATTGATTGATTGATTAATTGATGGATTGATTGATTGATTGATTGATTAATTGATTACACACGCAGGATAGGGTCGCTTGAAACAAGCAAACACGAAACAAATGATATCTTGGACCTGTATTAAACACAAGGGACCACAACAAGCATGTAATGGTTGGTTGGTTGGTAGGTGGTTTGGTTGGTTGGTTAAACACATGGGGCCGATCCACTTGGACAACTCAAAAAGGGAATTGAGAGTCTAGTGCCCATGTTTAAACACGGACCACGTGAAAAAGGCATTGAGAGCCTAGTGCCCGTGTTTAAACACTCGAGACCTAGCCTCTAGGAACACGTGAAAAAGGCATTTAGAGCCTAGTGCCCGTGTTTAAACACTTGAGACCTAGCCTCTAGGAACACGTGATAAAGGCATTGAGAGCCTAGTGCCCGTGTTTAAACACTCGAGACCTAGCCTCTAGGAACACGTGATAAAGGCATTGAGAGCTTAATGTCCGTGTTTTAACACTTGAGACCTAGCCTCTAGGAACACGTGATAAAGGCATTAAAAGCCTAGTGCCCGTGTTTAAGCACTCGAGACCTAGCCTCTATGAATACGTGATAAAGGCATTGAGAGCCTTATGTCCGTGTTTAAACACTCGAGACCTAGCCTCTATGAATACGTGATAAAGGCATTGAGAGCCTAATGTCCGTGTTTAAACACGCGAGACCTAGCCTCTAGGAACATGTGATAAAGGCATTTAGAGCCTTGTGCCCGTGTTTAAACACTCGAGACCTAGCCTCTAGGAACACGTGAAAAAGACATTGAGAGCCTAGTGCCCGTGTTCAAACACTTGAGACCTAGGCTCTAGGAGCACACGAGAACGGGTCCGTGCAACATTTTAGTTATATTCAAGTATAATATTTGTAGGAACATGCAAGGATTTAAACAGGCCTTCAAAAATATCCTTGCATCTTCCTTTATAAATGTTCTTTTTTTTTTTTATAGTGCTTCCCGGAATTTGTGTCTTATTTTTTACTTATTGATCTTATTGTTTGTGCATTGTATTCAATTTTGTATTTAAAATGGCCCGACCTGACCTGCATGGATCTTTTGTATTTAACCTATGTGATTAATTCTTTCCGAAAAGGGGGAAACCCCTATTTTATTTTAGGTAGCAGGCATTGCACCGGATGGTTGAAGTGATTGTGACGTAACCAAGCTGATTGATATACACAGAAAGACTGTTTATTTAATTTAGTTGCAGATAGAGACGTCGTTCTGACCACACCTATGTATAAAGAATGTGCAAACGGATTTAATTTTCTTTCATTTATAGGTCATTGAAGTCTGATCATGCATGCTTTTTTCGTACACATATTTACGGGAACACAGATTTCATTTTAATGCATGTTTAGACATTTGATTCTAGGATTTTACTACTATTTACGAACTTTTGAGGGAATTCTACGTAATTAATTTTAATTTCTCAATCCAGATTGGAACGTTAAGCGGACTGCACGTGATTTATCCTGCTAATGGAAAATATATTTTTTTGATTTTTTTTTACAGGTAAACTATTGCCCAATCGCTGACCACTGGTCGACTCATTCATTGCATGCACACAAAAATAATGCTGGTGTTATATAGTACTTTAACAAAACGTTAATCGATTAATTTTCAGAAATACATGTACATGATTTGGAGCAGATATTTTATTTTGCAGGAATAGATTTGTATTTCAGAAAGAAATTTATTCATAAAAAATTCGTAAGGGTTCCGCGGAACCCAGTGTCTCGCCTACTTTTTCTGTTAATCGCAGGCTCAACAAAAATGAGGAAGTAAATCAATAAAAATATTCCTCTTGATACTATCTTTTGATTGTAAGAAGCTTCTGTCCAAGTTTGGTAAAAATCCAGGATAGTTTATGAATCTAATAAATGTTTAAAAACTTTAACTGCAGACTGAATGTAATGTTAACTGGAAGAAAACAAAATTTCCTTCTAGATACTAGCATTTGATCATAAACAAGCTTCTGTCCAAGTTTGGTACAAATCCAAAATAGTATAAGAAAGTTATTAAAATTTTAAAAACTTTAACCACAGAGTGAATGTGTTGTTTCCTGGCAGAAAATCTAAGTCCATTTAAAAGTAAAATACTGAAAAAATGGATTTATTTTTTTACAAAATTTCCTTCTAGATACTAGCTTTTGATCATAAACAAGCTTCTGTCCAAGTTTGGTACAAATCCAAAATAGTATAAGAAAGTTATTAAAATTTTAAAAACTTTAACCACAGAGTGAATGTGTTGTTTCCTGGCAGAAAATCTAAGTCCATTTAAAAGTAAAATAAGGAAAAAATGGATTTTTTTTTTACAAAATTTACTTCTGGATACTATCTTATGATCATAAACAAGCTTCTGTCCAAGTTTGGTAGAAACCCAGGATAGTTTAAGAAAGTTATTAAAATTTTAAAAACTTTAACCACAGAGTGAATGTAATATTTCCCGGCAGAAAAACTAAGTCCATTTATAAGTAAAATACGGAAAAAATGGAATTTTATTTTTACAAAATTTACTTCTGGATACTATCTTATGATCATAAACAAGCTTCTGTTCAAGTTTGGTAGAAATTCAGGATAGTTTAAGAAAGTTATTAAAATTTCAAAAACTTTAACCACAGAGTGAATATTTGTGGACGCCGCCGACGACAACGACGACGACGACGACGCCGACGGAATGTAGGATCGCTATGTCTCGCTTTTTCGACTAAAGTCGAAGGCTCGACAAAAAAGAAGGATTAGCATTTTTATAATAAAATAGAAATGGGATTCCTAAAAAAAAAAAGGGGGGGCGTAGATGGGTAGTTGTGGGCATTGGATGATTTACAAAGATAAATTGCATGTACGCATCATGAGAGCTGCAAAGTTTGAAGCTATAATTAGTCAATTTGTTGATTTTTCCATTTCAGTGGCATGAAAACCCCCAAAATACTACGCGTATTATTTCGACAAATATTCACGACATAAATAATGTCGCGACTAACATTTTGCTAACATTTTTTTCAATTTTACCCCTAACTTTTTTCTGAGTAAAAGCAGTTTGAAGTGAATGTCAAAATTTAGAACATGACCTTGACCTTTGACCTTGACCTTATTTTCTAAGTTGGGACCCAAGGACCTTCAATAAAGCGACTCTAGGTTTATACAGCTTACGGCTTATGAGTTTATATGCATATCACTTATATCAAACGCATAAGGGGAAATAACTCTCATATGGAGACTCCGGAGAACTTTGGTGCAAACCGACTCATCATCTTGAAGATATAGGAAGCACTTTGGTAAAATAAATTTGTCGTAATCTTTTACGGTTGCGAAGGAGTAGTGGACACAAGAAAAACAATGTTCGGGGAGATAACTCTTACAACATAAAGTGTACGGTTTAACAGGGTCAGTTCCAAAAGCGCAATAACTGTTCGATATCATATGCGAAAAATCTAAGCGACATCTTGTAAAACCAGAATACTACGCAAGAACAAAATGTGGCGGAAGAAAAAAATAAAATCTCAGAACAAAACCAATAGGTCTTTCCACGGAAAAGTGGAAAGACCTAATAATAATGAGAACAAATACAATAGGTCTTTCCACAGAAAAGTGGAAAGACCTAATAATAATCAGAACAAATACAATAGGTCTTTCCACAGAAAAGTGGAAAGACCTAATAATAATAATAATAATCAGAACAAATACAATAGGTCTTTCCACTGAAAATGATCATTCAAAAAATATATGGTTTCAAGGTACTTTTCAATGAAATAAGTGCAAAAAATACTCCTTCCGGTTCACTCAAGGTCACTTCTGGTTTACTTTTTTCAAGGTCATATGTCAACCAACAGTTTGCAAAAGACCCTATGGCTTTATCATGTAACAAGTTGGAGTAATAATCAATTAACCTTAAATTGAATCATTTCAGGGACAATAACTCCTATAAGATATCATTGGATTGTTTCAGACCAAATGTATCATATCTTAATCACAATTAAGCAAACATTTTGCACTAGTTCTTTAATTTGTAATTTTAAAAGTGACAGAGGAGATCAAATAACAAGGAAAAGTCAAAATTTAGAATATGATCTTGACCTTTGACCTTGGCCTCAATTTCATTTAAATGAACCAAGGAACTCAAATCAATATACCTAAGGTCTCTATCACTTACCATTCATGCTATACATTTATATATCCCTTATGTCAAATACAGAAGGGGAAATAACTCTCATATGGAGTTTACGTATCGCTTTGGTCAAAATTGTACAAAACATCCTGAGGATATAACGAGCAATTTGGTAAAATAAATTTGTCGCTTTCTTTTACCGTTACGGAGGAGATGCACACACAAGGAAAACAGTGTTCGGGGAGATAACTCCTACAAAGTAAAGTATTCGGTTAAGCAGGGTCAATGTCAAAGGCGCATAAACTGTTTGATATCATATACGAAACATCTAAGCTACATCTTGCGAAACAAAAATTTATCGCAAGAACAAAATTTTACGGAAGAAAAAAAAAAAATTAAAAACCAATTGTTCAAAGAACAATTGAAGGTCTTTCCACATCAATTTTCTAAATAATTGATAGGAAGCTACTTCTGGTATACACAAAGTTATTAATAGCGTCAAAGTATAGATTTCTTCATACTGATTCAATAAATAAATGGTTTCTATATACTTTTGCCTGAAATAAGGGAGATAATTGCCAACTTCCGGTTTAGAAAATGTCACTTCCGGTCTCATATGATAGCTTTATTCACACTGATTCCAAAAATATATAGTTTGTATATACTTATGCCTGTAATAAGGAAGATAATATGCTACTTCCGGTTTATAAACTGTCACTTCCAGTCTCAAATGATAGGTTAACCTATGATCATTCAAAAAATATATGATTTCAAGGTACTTTTCAATGAAATAAGTGCAAAAAATACTCCTTCCGGTTCACTCAAGGTCACTTCCGGTTTACTTTTTTCAAGGTCATATGTCAACCAACAGTTTGCAAAAGACCCTATGGCTTTATCATGTACCAAGTTGGAGTAATAATCAATTAACCTTAAATTGAATCATTTCAGGGACAATAACTCCTATAAGATATCATTGGATTGTTTCAGACCAAATGTATCATATCTTAATCACAATTAAGCAAACATTTTGCACTAGTTCTTTAATTTGTAATTTTAAAAGTGACAGAGGAGATCAAATAACAAGGAAAAGTCAAAATTTAGAATATGATCTTGACCTTTGACCTTGGCCTCAATTTCATTTAAATGAACCAAGGAACTCAAATCAATATACCTTAGGTCTCTATCACTTACCATTCATGCTATACATTTATATATCCCTTATGTCAAATACAGAAGGGGAAATAACTCTCATATGGAGTTTACGTATCGCTTCGGTCAAAATTGTACAAAACATCCTGAGGATATAACGAGCAATTTGGTAAAATAAATTTGTCGCTTTCTTTTACCGTTACGGAGGAGATGCACACACAAGGAAAACAGTGTTCGGGGAGATAACTCCTACAAAGAAAAGTATTCGGTTAAGCAGGGTCAATGTCAAAGGCGCATAAACTGTTTGATATCATATACGAAACATCTAAGCGACATCTTGTGAAACAAAAATTTATCGCAAGAACAAAAATAGGCGGAAGAAAAAAAAAAAAAATATATAAATCAATTGTTTTAAAAACAATTGTTAAACGGTCTTTCCCCTCCAAAACATGATAAATTGGTTTTTTGGTTGGTTGGTTGGTTGGTTGGTCGGTCGGTCGTTCGGTCGGTCGATTGATTGATTGATTGATTGATTGATTGATTGATTGATTGCATGCATGGCACTTTTTCTGTGCGACGCAGCTAACTTAAATAACGCCTATTCTAACCGAACGTGACTGCGTACCTTGTACATCCCACACAGCCAAACGGACGCCTGAGATGTCCTCATAAAAATTGATCCTAGCATCATTCGTTTATAAATTTTCTCTAGTTTCTATGTTACCTCAGACTTCCATTTTTCATCTATTTGTTGTGTATGCATTTTGATTGAATTTGTAGGAAAACGGAGTAAATTTTATCTTGGAAGTTTTATTTTCCTTATTTGGATATGGAATGTTTTATTCTAAATTTAGGTCCGCGCGCGAGATGGTGTTGTGAAGTCAAGTGACCCTCGAATATATATGTCTGGAGTTAGAATATTAATTTCTTTTCAGGGGAGACCGTTGAACAGAGCACATGTGTACTGATCGGACAAACATGATCACTTTTGGTTTTATTATTTACAGGTCATTGATGACGGATCATGCATGCATCTTACGTACACACGTTTACGGGAGCACAGATTTGTATTTCAATGCATGATTAAAAAATTTGATTGTAGGATTTCAGCAATATTTACGATTTTTCTACGTCATTGAATTTTATTTCTCAATCAAGCGGACCGCGTCTAACGGGAACATGAATTGGAGCCGATTTTTGCAGGAATGAATTTCTATTTAAGAAGTTTGTACATCAGAAGGATTGAATTTTTACAGTCAAATGTACAGGACTGAACTTCAAGGCGAAATGGGATTCCTCAAAGTAGAAGAAAAAAAGGGGGGGGGGGGTGGGGGGGGGGGCTAGAGGTGGAGGATGGTGGACCTTGGTTGATAAATTAAGATAAGATGCATGTATACATCATGATAGCTGCAAAGTTTGAGGCTATAATTAGTTCATTTTGTTCATTTTACTATTTCAGTGGCATGGAACCCCTAAAACAATGACGCGTACCATTTTGACAAAAACCTTTCCAGTTATATCATGTCGCGACTAACATTTTGGTCAAATTTTTTTGATACGGCTTACGGTTTACGTGTTACAAAAACATAACGACACATTAATTTGGTAAAGGCAGATAACTCCTTTAAGATCTCACTGGATCGCTTAGATCCAAATTAGGCAAAAATTCCTGAGGATGTAACAAACAATTTAGAAAAAGAATTTTTCGATATCTTTTTTTGTTAGGAAGGAGATGCACACACTTGATAAACAGTGAATAGGGAGATAACTCTTACAAAGAAAATTGTTCGTCTTAGCAGGGTGAAATTTAAAAGCGCATAAACTATACGATACAATATGAGAAATATCTAAGCGACATATTGCGAAACAAATATTTATCGCAAGAACAAAATTAGGCGGAAGAAAAAAAAAAAAAAATAATCAGAAGAAAACCAATAGGTCTTTCCACAGAAAAGTGGAAAGACCTAATAAATGGAGAGAAGAGGAAAGAAAAGAGGTGGGTGTGTGCCAATGAGACATTTTATGATATATATGGTAAATTAGAATGGTTAAAAGTGCACATTTACAATATAAATCAATTGTTTTAAAAACAATTGTTTAACGGTCTTTCCCCTCCAAAACATGATAAATTGGTTTTTTGCTTGGTTGGTTGGTTGGTTGGTTGGTTGGTCGGTCGGTCGGTCTGTCGATTGATTGATTGATTGATTGATTGATTGCATGCATGGCACTTTTTCTGTGCGACGCAGCTAACTCAAATAACGCCTATTCTAACCGAACGTGACTGCGTACCTTGTACATCCCACACAGCCAAACGGACGCCTGAGATGTCCTCATAAAAATTGATCCTAGCATCATTCGTTTATAAATTTTCTCTAGTTTCTATGTTACCTCGGACTTCCATTTTTCATCTATTTGTTGTGTATGCATTTTGATTGAATTTGTAGGAAAACGGAGTAAATTTTATCTTGGAAGTTTTATTTTCCTTATTTGGATATGGAATGTTTTATTCTAAATTTAGGTCCGCGCGCGAGATGGTGTTGTGAAGTCACGTGACCCTCGAATATATATGTCTGGAGTTAGAATATTAATTTCTTTTCAGGGGAGACCGTTGAACAGAGCACATGTGTACTGATCGGACAAACATGATCACTTTTGGTTTTATTATTTACAGGTCATTGATGACGGATCATGCATGCATCTTACGTACACATGTTTACGGGAGCACAGATTTGTATTTCAATGCATGATTAAAAAATTTGATTGTAGGATTTCAGCAATATTTACGATTTTTCTACGTCATTGAATTTTATTTCTCAATCAAGCGGACCGCGTCTAACGGGAACATGAATTGGAGCCGATTTTAGCAGGAATTAATTTCTATTTAAGAAGTTTGTACATCAGAAGGATTGAATTTTTACAGTCAAATGTACAGGACTGAACTTCAAGGCGAAATGGGATTCCTCAAAGTAGAAGAAAAAAGGGGGGGGGCTAGAGGTGGAGGATGGTGGACCTTGGTTGATAAATTAAGATAAGATGCATGTATACATCATGATAGCTGCAAAGTTTGAGGCTATAATTAGTTCATTTTGTTCATTTTACTATTTCAGTGGCATGGAACCCCTAAAACAATGACGCGTACCATTTTGACAAAAACCTTTCCAGTTATATCATGTCGCGACTAACATTTTGGTCAAATTTTTTGGATACGGCTTACGGTTTACGTGTTACAAAAACATAACGACACATTAATTTGGTAAAGGCAGATAACTCCTTTAAGATCTCACTGGATCGCTTAGATCCAAATTAGGCAAAAATTCCTGAGGATGTAACAAACAATTTAGAAAAAGAATTTTTCGATATCTTTTTTTGTAACGAAGGAGATGCACACACTTGATAAACAGTGAATAGGGAGATAACTCTTACAAAGAAAATTGTTCGTCTTAGCAGGGTGAAATTTAAAAGCGCATAAACTATACAATACAATATGAGAAATATCTAAGCGACATATTGCGAAACAAATATTTATCGCAAGAACAATTTAGGCGGAAGAAAAAAAAAAAACAAATAATCAGAAGAAAACCAATAGGTCTTTCCACAGAAAAGTGGAAAGACCTAATAATCAGAAGAAAACCAATAGGTCTTTCCACAGAAAAGTGGAAAGACCTAATTAAAAACCAATTGTTCAAAGAACAATTGAAGGTCTTTCCACATCAATTTTCTAAATAATTGATAGGAAGCTACTTCTGGTTTACTCAAAGTTATTAATAGCGTCAAAGTATAGATTTCTTCATACTGATTCAATAAATAAATGGTTTCTATATACTTTTGCCTGAAATAAGGGAGATAATTGCCAACTTCCAGTTTAGAAAATGTCACTTCCGGTCTCATATGATTGCTTTATTCACACTGATTCCAAAAATATATAGTTTGTATATACTTATGCCTGTAATAAGGAAGATAATATGCTACTTCCGGTTTATAAACTGTCACTTCCAGTCTCAAATGATAGGTTAACCTATGATCATTCAAAAAATATATGGTTTCAAGGTACTTTTCAATGAAATAAGTGCAAAAAATACTCCTTCCGGTTCACTCAAGGTCACTTCCGGTTTACTTTTTTCAAGGTCATATGTCAACCAACAGTTTGCAAAAGACCCTATGGCTTTATCATGTACCAAGTTGGAGTAATAATCAATTAACCTTAAATTGAATCATTTCAGGGACAATAACTCCTATAAGATATCATTGGATTGTTTCAGACCAAATGTATCATATCTTAATCACAATTAAGCAAACATTTTGCACTAGTTCTTTAATTTGTAATTTTAAAAGTGACAGAGGAGATCAAATAACAAGGAAAAGTCAAAATTTAGAATATGACCTTGACCTTTGATCTTGGCCTCAATTTCATTTAAATGAACCAAGGAACTCAAATCAATATACCTTAGATCTCTATCACTTACCATTCATGCTATATATTAATATATCCCTTATGTCAAATACAGAAGGGGAAATAACTCTCATATGGAGTTTACGTATCGCTTTGGTCAAAATTGGACAAAACATCCTGAGGATATAACGAGCAATTTGGTAAAATAAATTTGTCGCTTTCTTTTACAGTTACGGAGGAGATGCATGCACAAGGAAAACAGTGTTTGGGGAGATAACTCCTTCAAAGAAAAGTATTCGGTTAAGCAGGGTCAATTTCAAAGGCGCATAAACTGTTCGATATCATATACGAAACATCTAAGCGACATCTTGCGAAACAAAAATTTATCGCAAGAACAAAATTTGGCAGAAGAAAAAAAAAAAAAATAATCAGAAGAAAAACCAATAGGTCTTTCCACAGAAAAGTGGAAAGACCTAATAACAAAACAAACCTACCACAAAATTCTTCAAACAATTTACCAAAGAAAAGAAGAAAAAAAATCCAAAATGTCATTTATCATTAATACAATATCTATTAAAAATATATAAAACTTATCTGTAATTATCTTTAAAATGTCTAGTAATGAACAGTAAATTGCAAACTTTATTTATACAGACCAACAGATCTTATCATCATCAACACTTAGGAAACAGAAAATTTTCAAATAAATCTCTCACTCCAATTATAATTGTTTGATAACATATTTACCAGATGCTTTGTTATCTGATAACAGGTAAAAATTATTTAAAAACACTTTATATATATAATTAATATTTCCCAATATTTTTTCTTTCATTTGTCACAAACTAATATAGATCTGCAACTTATCTATCAATGTCAACAATTTTATCTACACAATGTAATGTAATGAAATATATCCTTTAATAAAAATAGATTATTATCTAATGAAAATGATATTTGCAAATCACAATTTCTGTTCAAAGGGAAATAACTCAATCATATAATAAGTATAACTTCTGGCTACTAAAAGGTCGACAACTCAACAACCAGAAAAGCTAAAATAGTGAAAATAGAAGTTGACCTTCATTTAGTCACAGGAAACAACATATCTAAATTTGAAAAAATGTCGTCAAAGCGTTTGCATGTTAATGAACGGACACTGTTTGGCAGCCGCCTGCCTGCCCGCCCTTCCACCCGCTGTACATTCCCAAATCAATAACCGATTTTTCCTTCGAAAATCCGGTTAAAAATGATTCGAAGAGAACATGAAAACATAGAACGAAGAACAAATATAGTTGCCTATCACTTAAAGTAACTTAGAAACTGACATAGTTATGAAAACTTGGCCCTTCCTTAGTAAGACCTTGAACCATGAAAACTAGGTGCAGGACAATTCAGTTATCCTATATGGAAACTTCAGACCATAAACTTTTTATACACAAAATTTGAGTTGAATAACACGAGGTTCATTCTGAAAATTTAAGACATATAAGAATGATAAATTTGAGATAAGACCAGTGTTCTGTGAACAGTTACCAGTAGCTAACACTGTTGCCAATTACTACATAGTGATTAGAGTAAAGGTGAAAAGAATATACAGACATGTTGTTTTTGCTGAATTTGACCCTAAATTCTATTTACCAAACTTAGCCTATAATGCTGATGTAGTAGCTGGATAATGTTTAAATTTACCTAGAACCGACATGCTGTAATGTCTAACCTGCAAAATTAAGTTCAATGAAAAACACCAGATTTCTTGTCGACAAAATTATTATTACTGAGTTGTTTAAAATTTCCAGATCTTTTTTATTCTGTTCTCTACATTTTTTTTGTTATTTATTAAAGCTACAAGTATTATGAATAAACTTACCTTTAGGACAGGGTCCATTACATTCCACACATGTACCATTTACATCATGGAACCTGGTTCGGCAGGTTTTTACACAAACATTTTGTTCTTTATCTTTCAACAAATGTTCTATAATATATGCATACAAAGATCCAGAAATATATCTTCAAGTAAACTGGATCTACATTTTATGAAATATCTTTTTATGAATATCATACCATCTTTTTCATGTGATACTATGGTATAACTTTTATTTTGTATTCAAAACAGGATACCATATAATTACAGATGCTACATAAGCAGACAAATAAATTTTTTTAGCATTATGTTTCTATGTGCACTAAATTTAAATGGAATAGAAAACAATTTGAGCTTCATGACCTAGTATCCCTGTACTACTTCTTACTAACAGGCAACCAGTTATTTACTGTTAAATATCTAGTACAAATATTAGATTAAAATCACATATTTGTGTGTAACACCTCAATCGTACACATAAATTTAACTTTCCCCCCACAGATATTTAAGTAAAATAAGTCATGTCAATTTTGTTCAATTTTATTGTAGTTTTGCCAATCTTATATAATAAAAATTGTATGCTATACATACATATGTTCCTCAAATTCCAATAGACTCATATATTTGTAAAATATATTTATAAAAAAAATTTCTTAAATTCTTAGTTGATAAATTAACAAATCATTTAGAAACTATGGTTCAAAGTTGACCTTTTATGCATTTGGCTATTCTTTTAAGGTCGTCTTTGGTGATGTAGCTTTTCTAGTATTCAAGTATTTATACATCATTGGTTTTCACATTTTTTGGTTTGAGCGTTCCTGAGGAAGATCCAGAAAAGCACTTTGAATGCATCAAATTTATAAAGTGTTAATGTTATTATTTTAAATCAAATGAGATCAAAGAGATAACCAATTTTCCAACACACAAACATAATCCACTTGACATAATTTGAACATTTTAGCTTATCTTTTATGCTTTAGTTTCATTTTGATATAGCTATAACAACCTGATATTCTCTTTCTCCAATATTCCATTTAAGTTGTCATTCCTTTTTTGAATTACTTCCCTTGGAACATATTTTATACTTACTGGGACAGTCTTTTTGACAAAGTGCACCATATGCAAATTTTCCTGCTGGATTTTCTTCCATTTCAAGTTTGTATGGATTATAAACCTGATGTGGTGGACAACGACTGACACATTCTCCATCATTAGAGTAATGCTTGCATGCCTGAAATTAATGAGAGAAAATGTGTCAAAGAACCAAATGCCAAAATTAGAATTTGGGAATTCACAAAACATAGCATAATTGAATCCAAAGAGTCCATCTGTGTGTTTGTAGCAAAAAGCAAATTTGCTTCTTATATTATGCTAAAGTTTCAATTTTAGTATTTAAAGCCTGCATTTGAATAAAATCTCTATGACCTATGGTAAATTTTCACTTGCTTCAATAAATTGCATGTCCAATTTCTTATGTTACTGCTTTCAAATTTCAATGTGTCTTTATCTGCCCCCTTTATTCTATTTTGATCTTCAACATATTAGAACTTCATTTCTATAAAAATTCATCACAGAGCAGTCAAAAACATGTCTTTTAAAAAGATGGGCTTCACAGGGATAATGTTAAAATGTTACAATATTTCAAATTGGTCTCATCTCAGGAATCTTGCATTAATAAGCAAGAAAATAAATTATGAAATCTTTGATGTGATTTTCCACTCTGAATTTTGCAACTGTACAAAAGTCATGCTTTTATCAACCTTTTTTTTTCTATGAAATTTCGGTTAACGTTTTAAGAGATCATTTTACATGTTTGATCTCTTAAAATCTTAACCGAAATTGTCAGCAAATATGTGTTAATATTCCATTATTGAATATATAAAGGCATACCATCATTACAGAGCTCACTTACATAACAATCTGTTTTCTTTGGTCCATGACACCCAGCAGCACATTCAGGATGGCAACACTGGTTTGGGTCACTGCCGAAACATCTATCTTCACATGTCTGGCTACAAACTGTTGCATGGTTCACTGAAATTTAAAAACAGCTTATAATTACTGATTACTTTTTTTTTCATATTTATATACATATGTTTCCCTGACGGTCAGTTGTACTGGTGGAAGAAACCAATACCTACATGGTAAACCCTCAAACTTTTCTGAAAGTTAATGACAAATTGCATGAAATATTTGCCACTGGACGTTAAGCAACGAACAATCAATTATTTCTTATTTGTTTGCTTCTAAGATACCAAATATAGTTGACATATTGTTAATAGTATCTAAGATACTTACCAAATCATGAAAACTAAACTTTTGCAACTGAACCATGAAATGAGGTCAAGGTCTGGTGAATCCTGATTGAAGAACATATTTATCTGGCATTGATTATATATACAACATGCAGTTGTGTTGTTATCATAATAACTGCAAAAAATCCCAAACAAACCTGGTGTTTTTATGCAACAACTGAATATAAAAATGAGGTCAAGGACAATCGAAGTTTGGCAAAAGAAAACTTTGGACCGTACAGTATGGATTATCCAGCTCTTCTTCCTTCAATCCTCTTAAATACAAGGCTTTATTCAAATAGTATATGCCAAGTATTAGCATTCTAAAGGCAAGAGGAAACAAAATCAAATCATTTTATAAATTGTTAAACCAGAGATATATGTCTTGTCTGTAATGCAATTTTGATAGTACATTGTATGATGCAAATGTTGCAATTAAAATAGCAACACTCCAACATGTAAACTATGGAATAGTTTCAAAGTAAATAGATTATGACCAAGGTAACAGGCAAAACATGGTAACAGGCAAAATAATACAACTACAATTCCAAATACCATTGATTTACCGTAAGTGGTTCCCCTTAATCTGACATAATCTCAAGCTTTAAAAAATTGTTGACATCAATGAAAACAGCACCCAAAAGTCTCACCTCTGCAGCCAAATTAAGAAGAGAGACAACAACTAATACGCACAACTTGATGCATATTAAATTTAGTATTATCTGGACTTGAGTAGGGTTTTTATAATTTTTTTCAATGTATTTATATTTAATTCTATACAAATAACTAAGTACTGCAATTATTTTATAGTGAAACATTTCTCAGTTCTGTGCCCTCCACATTTTCATTGCATTTGGTATAAACACATCTTACTATGGAGAGACAAAATGTAGACAACATGATATTATTTACATCAATACAATGATTTTACCTCTGTTATTGAACAGGTTTTCTTGTGATGGGTTATTTAACATGTTGTTTGACTGGAATCCAGTGATGAACTGTAAATTATTGGTTTAATGAGAACTGTCAGTAAAGGCATGACTGGTAACCATTTGTTTGTAACTGTTGTTTCTGGTTAAGTTTATCAATCTTAAGTAATTACAACTTGTTCTTTTGTTTCTGTGACATGCGATGGAGAGAGATTGGTGTGTCTGCTGTAGTCTTTTAGTCTTACAATGCTTAGTCTCTTAGTTTAATGTAATTACTTGAAAAAAGACATCATTTACAAAATCTAATTATTCTAATTCTATCTGACATTGGTAAATTTTACAATGTCAATTATAAACAGAAAATCAACTTTAATGATAGTTTTCTCTCCCAACATGTTGCTTATTTTTTTTTTAAAGCATATAACAAGTGATAGAGAAATAATCATTCCAAACTCACAGCAATTGCACAAATCTCAAAAAATAATTAAAAAAAATATCAATGTTCCACAAATATTTCTTTAAGAAACGACCCAAGTATTTTGTATTTGAAGGCAATCCTAATCTAATCTGATATTACAAAACAAACAAGGCTTTATTCATAAAAAAAATCATGTACACCTAATTAAAACAAGAGTGCACACACTGAAATGTCTCGCCTGCTTTACTTATCATGATTAAGTTTCATACCATACATAAAATATAGTTAACCTTTTGTTTATAGCATCTGAGAAATAGACCTAATTACGAAAATTGACCATTGAACAATAAAAATTAGGTCATGTTCAGGTTATCCCTGCCAGACAACATGAGCACCATGCAATCATTCCATACACCAAATATAGTTGATCTATTGCTTATTAGTATCTGATAAACAGACAAAACCATGAAAACTTAACATTATCCAATGAAGGTCAGGCAGGGTCAGATGAAATATGCCAGACAGACATGTAGACCTTCAAATCATTCTATTCATCAGATATAGTTGATCTATTGTTTAAAGTATACAATAAACACACAAAACCACAACAACTTAAAATTGACCAATGAACCATGTACCCTGTCTGAACAATATCTAAACCTTGCAGGGATCTGTTATACCAAATATAGTTATCCTACTACTCATAATAAGTGAGTTTTGCACTTGACAAAAAAACTACAATTGTTTTCCAACCAGTCACTGAACCATGAAAATGAGGTCAAGGACAATGGAAATATGACAGAAATAAACATTGTAGCATAAGGCATCTGCATACAAGGTATGATGTATCAAGGTCTTCTACCTTCTGAAATATAAGGCTTTATATAAGTAGTTTACACTGTTGCCAGATTGTAATCCCTATGTTTATGTCTCGCATTTTTTAGCAGACAAGACAATTAAGACTGTTTTCTGCAAGATTATATTTTAAATCTCTTTCATCTGATGAACCCATCTATAATTTTGTATTTTAAAGATATTGCTGAAATAGTTTTAATGTAGTCTAATTAAAATCCAATAATTATGAAAATAGTCCTTATTTTCAAAATCCATATTCTTAAACAATTTCTTAATCTATCAACTAGAGACAAAGAAATTTTCTGTTTTTCTTTTTGGTATAGAAAAAAAAAGTCTTGAAATAAAAGTGACCAAAGAGTTTTTTTATTTATAGAACACACCATACTTGATCAAAAATATTTACTTCCAGACCAATTCATCATTTTCATTTCAGTAGATTTACAATTGTTTTAATCCATTGTCTTGTTTTTCCTACTGCTAATGTCATTCACCTGTGTCCCCATATTATTTTCCTAATAATTTTGTGGTAAATGCTTCACTTGCCTAAATTATCAGTGTTTAATCCCACTAAGGATAACATCGACAGTATTTTTATGTCCAATTATCAACACAGAACTATGACAACCCTCTATAAAATATGTTATATATTTCAGTTCTATTTTATCCTTTCTGGATCTACAATAAATTTTGTAATCTTGAGGACATCATTCAAATTCTCTTTATTTACATCATACTTTAAACTGAAAGTTTAGAAATTAATTTGATCTGTTCACTCCAGACTTTTAATTTAGCATCTATAACAGGATGCAATATATGTAAACTACAAAGGGAAACAGGTGCTTGTTACTTTAAAGTATTAATAAAATTCTATATGTAATAACATTCCTTCAGTTAAATACACATTTCTTCAAGAAACCCATATTGAAGTTCATTTCAAAAGTTTTTTTTTTTCAAGAGATACTTGAAATTTCAATAAAAATTCAAAACATTTTTGCAGTTAATGTGCACTATTGTAAGGATATTTACTCTCTTTACACGTTACATGTTCTAGAGGATTATGTGAAAGATTGAAAATTTTGAAACACCTTTTTGAAATGGCTTTGATATCTGACTAACAACTTCAAATTTATTGATGGCAAAATCACAGCAACTAAACATATCTTGTATGGCTGTTTAAACACTCCTTCTTACACTGTTAAGCTTGCAGAATCTATTGATTAATCCAACAATCCCAAAACTAAACCTGAACTTTAATAGAATTTGACCTAAAAGTCAATGATCTTCATTCTAATTAAGCATTTTTTTTTTATTCTTACAGGTTATTTAGATTGAATCATATTGACATTATGTAAGTCCAGCCAGACCTTTGACCATAAAAAGTACAATGGTCAGATTTTGAAATACCCCTGTTAAATGAAGATTGATATTGAATCTGGCACAAAAATGTAACAAGAGTGCACACACTGAAATGTCTCGCCTGCTATACTGACCATCCTACATATAAAGTTTTACTACAACACATTAACATTTATGATCCAAGAAAATGAGATCAATGTCAGATAAACCAAGCCGGAAATACATGTACACCTTTAATACAATCATTCCATACACAGAATATAGATAACCTATTACTTATAGTATAAAAGAAACAGACCAAACCATGGAAATTCTATACTGACCAATGAACCATGAAAATGAAGTCAAGGTCAGATGAACCCTGTCAGACAGACATGTACACCTTAAAATCATTCCATGCATCAAATATAGTTGACCTATTGCTTTAAGTATCTAAGAAACAAAGATAACCAGGAAAACTGAACATTGACCAATCAACCATGAAAATGAGGTGAAGGTCAGATGATACCTGCCAGACAGACATATACACCTTACAATCATTCCATACACCAAATATAGTTGACCTATTGCTTAAAGTTTAAGAAAAACAGACCAAAACACAAAAACCTAACATTGAGCAATGAACCATGAAAATGAGGTCAAGGTCAAATAAAACCTGCCAGACTGACATGTACATCGTAAAATATTTCCATACACCAAATATTGTTGACCTACTGCATACAGTATTAGAAAAACAGACCAAAACACAAAAACTTAACATTGAGCAATGAACCGTGAAAATGAGGTCAAGGTCAAATGAAACCTGCCAGACTAACATGTACATCGTATAATATTTCCATACACCAAATATAGTTGACCTACTGCATACAGTATTAGAAAAACAGACCACAAACTTAACATTGAGCAATGAACCGTGAAAATGAGGTCAAGATCAAATAAAACCTGCCAGACTGACATGTACATCGTAAAATATTTCCATACACCAAATACAGTTGACCTATTGCATAAAGTATTAGAAAAACAGACCAAAAACACCAAAACTAAAATATGACCACTGAACCATGAAAATGAGGTCAAGGTCAGATGACCGCTGCCACTTGAACATGTACACCTTACAATCATTCCATACACCAACAAGAAATGATTGTAACAGGATGCTGTTACGAAGTCTCCCAAACG